CCCAATAAAAAAAGAAAGGAAAAAAGTAAAAAAAAAAAAAAAAAGAGTCCAGAAAACACTTCTTACTTTCATTTGCTTGTCGCCATTAGCAAAGTTATTGGTAATTGCAAGGGAATGTTGAAACCGGGAACCTCCGATCCCAGCGTCTGCTATTAACTGGCTTACAGCCTTGATGAGCTGGAAGAGAAAAGACATAAAGAAATGCTCAAAAGATCAGAAACAGCGCCATTAAAAACAGTGCCCTGTGGCCACCTGGATTCAAGTTTCTCCCTATGAATACAATCAATGACTCCTTTACGTACCAACTTTCCAGAAGGCCAACTATTATTCTATCATTGAGGGTTTTTTTCATAAACACGATGATAGAGTGTCTCCAAAATATCTAAGCAAGGCTGTGAGAGTCTGAAGAGTCTATAAAGAACTACTCTGAGGCCTTTGTAATACGGTGGATTTGGTGTCTTAGGGCCAGCTACGGTTTTCTGCGTCATGTGTTTGGATGATTCTATTTCTTAGATCATTGATCTGTCAGATCTTACATCTGTTTCTTAGATCAAATTCATTGTCACTGACTTGAAATCAACTCCTAGCTGGCTTTGCACTGGGTTTCCAAGGTGGAAGCCTATACTGGAGGAGATTTCCCACCATTCTTCCTGGGAGACCCTAGTAATTTCAAATCACCAGTAAAGGTGAAGGGTTGGGAGACCGGTGCTGTGGGTGGGTGGCTCCCTGCAGACAAGATGCTGGAGTTTTCTCAGCAGACCTGAGGGAAGTTACAAGTGGAGCTGGAGGTTTTGCTGATTTCGACACAGCTCTAATCTTCCTCCAAAGAAGAGACAAATGTGGTAGGTGGATTGGAGGAGGAGTCTGGTGGAGCTGTGTATTATCAATGCTAACATAGATCAACGGCTTTAACAAGCACGCGGACGAAAACAGTGGGACTTACTTGCAAGTGGGATCTGACGATTGACTTCTGCTTGTTAAATTCAAAATTCTTCCTCATGAAGAAGTATAGAAGGGCTGAGGCTTCCATCTGCGTTGACCGTGACCTGTGATTACAGCACTTCAGGACTTCATAGCAGAACGCTCCACAGAGGTCCGCCGGCCCTTGGAAGAACGCCGATGGGAACTACACAAATGGAAGAGTGTCAGAGCCCTTTTCAAGTCATTCTTTCCAGTCTCCTTAATTGAAAATCCCCTAGAGCTAAATCTCTCTTCTCTCTTGGAACTTAGTCCTTTTTTGGTTTGTTTTCTGTTTTAACCTACTCGTTTCTCTCTCTCATTTTTAAGTGAGAGGGTATAATTTTTCTGGCCCAAATTGGAGTTAACATTTGGGTTTTTCTTTTTATTTATGAAGTTTTTAAATTGTGCTTTTAATGAATGTTTACAGAAATGTTGGATTATCATTCATTCATTATTGTGCTTTTTCGCCCTCTTCCTCCCCCATTTCATTTTCTTTTCTTTTAGAAGAATCATTTTTTGTTGCACATAGCATTTTTTCCTTTTTTGAGGTGATTGAGCTCTTTAAAAAATACTTATTTATTAAGTATTGTGTATATAACCAATAACCAATGGTAACCCATGCCATCAAGTAGTTTTGGATTCATGGTGACCCCATACGCTGTGGAGTAAAAGGACTCTGGACTATGATTATTATAGCAAGCCCTGGTGGTGTAGTGCACCACGTACTGGGCTGCTAAGCCAAGCTCTGAGGTTCAAATCCATCAGATGCTCCTTGGGAAGAAAATGAGCAGTTTCTTCTCTTTAAAAGATTTATAGCATCAAAAACCCAACGAAGGCTCCACCATGAATCGAAATCAACCCAGTGGTTTCGGTTTTTTAAAAAACTACAGAAGCAGCTTGCCAAGGCTTTCTTCCTCAGTGCTGCTGAGTTAGCAGCTCAACACACACCAATGCCTGTGCCAAACAGGGAGCTAATGGCTGACAAACCAATATGCTTGACTAAGAGTCTTAAAATGCTCTATATTCACCCAACATTGGTAGAACTATAGGTTTTTCCCAATACTTTTCCATTTTGTTGTTTTGAAAGTGATAACTACATCTCTTTCTATGGAGAATCTCTGACGTCCTCAGGCCTGGTTTGAATTGTTTTTCATCAAACATTCTTTTAAGTGGCATAGCACCGGGCTGTCCATTTGCTGTACAGAGATAACCAGAGGTTGCTGGGAAGCTGAACACTGTCACACTGATGTGTCAAATGTGATACTGATCACCCATGGTGGACAGTGTTTGGTGGAGCTCTCCAATTAAAACAAGCTTGGAAGCAGGAGTGACATCCACTTCCAAAATAGCCTGCCTCTGGTAACACTATGAACTTGGAGAAACAATGAATGTTATACAAATGTTCAGGTCTTTCGTTCATAGGGTCACTATGAGTAGTCTATGACTTGATGGCACTTAACAACAACAACAAACATTAAAGATTATGTTAAAGGTTCCACACAGTGACTAACTAGATGTCAGTCAGTGGTACACATTTCACCCAACTCTGTGCCACAAACACTGGGAATGCAAAGAACGGATGATCAGCTAATAATTCTATTCCTTTTTGGTGTCCAAATATCTACTTGAGTTCTCGAGACTGTGAATTCACTTTGAAACCATGAGTGAAAGTCTTATAAAATCTGGACAGAAGGAACCACGCTTTTCCTGCACCACTGGTGACGCAAGGACCAGCATGTGTTTGCTAGCCTTCGTAACTGAGGTGCTCTAGGACCCAGAGGATACTTACCTTGCTAACAAACAGTCTCAAGGAAGCAAACACGTGCCTCAGAGCTGTGGCTGACTGGTTAACTTGGAAAAAGAGCATGTAGGTATCAAAGACCCTTTTCATCATTGAGTTCTGACAGTCAGATTGCTGGAGTTGCCTCTGCAAATGAACACAGCAGTTATTTAAGGCAGGTGTTAAGAACGCCTGAGTTCCTTCAAGAAATCTTGACTGTGAACCTACTACTTGGAAGCCATAATCTCAGAGGCTGGAATTGAGAGTTGAAGAAAATCAAGGCCCAGGTTCTCAAGAAACTGCGTGATGGTGGTTGGTAAAAGGAATATCTAAGAATAAAATAAAAGAACAGGATGGAAAGTGATTGACTTGGGTAGAATTAGTTTATATAGGATGGTGAGTCAAAACCAGAAACTTGCACTGAAGGAGCCTTGAATTTGAAGGAAAGATTTGGGGGACAAGTGTCAGGAAGGAGAAATAGCTGACGTGAGAGTGTTGACGTAGAAAGGAGTTTAGGAACTGAAGGAGGACGGAAAGCAGAGTAGATGGAGCATGGAGAGCACCGGAAATGAGACAAGGGAGGTCCTTATTGGCCTGATTTGTAAAGCCTTGAAGATATTTGAGTTTTGTGGATCATTTCCAAGGAACAATTAAAAAAAATCAAACTGTAATGTTTGGGTTTTCTAGCACTAGGCCAGGATTTCACAAGGAAATGAGCTTTCCCTCTCCTCACAGTGTCCCATCGAAGCAGATCCCACTGACACAGGAGGAGATTTGTGGATGTAATCTTCTTGGGTCCACACTCATGCCGTGGCTCAATGTGTCTCACTAAATCCTTCATGCGTTAATGTGGGATTGGAGGTTTATTTGATTGATCTTTAAATTGTAGACAGTTTACTGGAGTATAACTGACACAGAATAAAGCAATAGCTAATATTCAAAGTACAATTTGATAATCACCGCAATCCACATAACAACCTTTTCGTCACCCCAAAAGCTTTATTTTCCCTCCCATTTATCGATATGATATTTACTGGTCAAGTTGCATGGATAGTTCCTCTTTATATTAAGGTATAATTCTTTTCTTGTTTTTTTTTTTTTTTAAATTTTAAACTGCTTTTAATTAAAGTTTAGAGACTTTGGATTTCCATTCATTCATTGTTGCACTTTTCTCCCTGCCCACCCCTCCCCCTGAGTTCACTTTTCTCTTTGAAAAATAAAAAAATATCTTTTTTTATGCAACCTACCTCCTGCCTTTCTCCAATCTCATCTATCAGTTTTTCTGCCTAAATAGTTCATATTTTATAAAAATTTTATAAAAAGGAATCAAGCTGTGTGTCCTCTTTTTGTTTTTTATGCTTTCAGCATAAGTGTTCTGAGAATATAGAACACATTGGTAGCTAATGTCTTTGACTTTCTATTGCTAAGCCATGCTTTACTGTGTAGCATCACATATGTGGTTTTTCCACTCTTCAATAGGTTGGCGTTTATATTGTTGTCAGTTGGAGCTATTACAAATAAAGATGTTATGAATATTCATGTAGAAGTTTTTATATTGATATATGTTTTATTGTCTTTTTGTATGTAACAGCTGGAGTACCTGACAGACGTTTGCTTAAATTTTAATGAACAAGGCTATATTGCCTTCCAAAGTGTTCACAGCAGTGCACATTCCCACTGGGAAAGAAAGCAAGTGTGAATTTTTCCACAACCTCAACAAAACTTGATATGGTCAGTGTCCAGTGTTGTTAATCTCAGCCACTGTAATATGTTTATAATGATAAACCATCACCACAGAAGATACCCTAATAATATATATGCTTATGAGATGATTCTCAGCATTGCTAATCTTTTGGACATAGCTGTGAAATTAATACAAAGTACACTCTGTTTTCCTGTAAGATTGGAAATGTAGAATCACATTCTTGTTTAGGCCAGACTCCTTGAGGACAAAGCAAAGGAAATGAAAGAAAAGCTGCTGAACTAATGTTAGAACCTAAGTCTAACCTAATTTCTACCCACAAATACTATACTCATGAATATTTAACCTTTGTATAACATCTTGAAATTTCTTCAGTGCACATGACCGCTGTGTTTTTGTTGTTTTTTTTTTTTAACTCCCATTTTATTACTATTTTACAGAGAACATTCTGGCCATACTTGCCTGGTGGATCTGGGTGAAGAGGGACAGCAGGTCTAGGATGGTCAGGCAAACCTCTGTGGCTATGTTGGCTTCCGTGTCCACATGGTGCACGATGTCGATTTCACTGGCATTGTCTACGAAAAGAGCATGTGCGTACCACCGCTGAGACAAATGTTCATCCCCTCAAAATGACTGTTCCTATTCAAGCATGTTCATTTTACTGATATTTCAATTAAAACTTATTAAATTCAAGTGCTTTAATTTGCTTAATTTCCTTATCTGCTCTATCAAAACTGGCAGGCACTTTCTGGTGTATCCTTTGCCTATGTCAGTGGAAGGGCTTCCAGAGGATACTGGTGTATTTCCTAAGAGTGTGAGGTTGTGACTTCTTTTCTATTGATTTTACCATATATGAGACTATAGTGCTTCCACAAGCAGTTTGTATTAATTCTCAACCTCCCAGGTTAACAGACTAGAGCTATACTCTCAATGAACAGAATGGCACAAAGCATGTTAGCAGGTTAAGATACACAGAAACACACACACATAGTGATATACTATATATATTTGGAAGCAGGAGTGGCATCCACTTCCTAAACAACATGCCTCTGAAAAATATGAACTTTGATAAATGATGATAATTATAGAAAGGCTTAGGCCTTCTGTTCATAGGATCACTATGAGTCATGCTCGACTCGAAGGCAATCAACAACATAACAGATATACATATACATATACATATACATATACATATACATATACGACAAAGTAAAGTACTGAAATGAGCAAAGAGCTAGAGTCAGAAAAGAGCCAAACTTGGCATTTCTTAAGCTGAAAGAACTGAAAATGAAATTCAAGCCTCAAGTTGCAATATTTAAGGATATTTTAGGCAGAATAGTAAATTATCTAGGAAGCATTAAATGAAGATAGGAGTACAGAGAGTCACTGTACCAAAAAGAATTGGCTGCCACAGAGGAATTTTATGAGACAACGTGTGAGCAAGAGCCTGTGGTGATGAAGGAAGAAGTTAAAGCTGTTCTGAAAGAACTGTCAAAATACAAGGCCTGGGCAATTGATGACATACCGATTGACATATTTCAACAAACAAATCCTGGCCTGGATGAGCTCACCAAGATGTATCAAGAAATCTGGCCAACTGCCTGGAAGAGATCTATATTCGTTCCTATTTCAAAGAAAAGTGACCTGACAGAGTGTGGAAATTCTCGAACAATATTATTAATATCAATGCAAGCAAGATTCTGCTGACAACTATCCAAAAGGGACCAGAACATCAACAAAGAACTGCCAGATGTGTAAGCTGGGTTTAGAAGAGGCTGTGCTACAAGAGATATGACAACTAATGTTAACAGATCTTGGCTGAAAGCAGAGCGTACCAGGGGAATGTCTATGTGTATTTCATTGACAATGTAGAGGCATTTGACTGTATGGATCATAACAAACTGTGGCTGACTCTGAGAAGAATAGGAATCCCAGAACACTTGATCATGCTTATGTGAAACCTATACTTGGACCAGGAGGCAGTTGTCAGAACAGATCAAGGAAACACTATGTGGTTAAAAATTGGGAAGGGTGTATGCCAGGGATGTGTCCTACTGCTATACCTTCTCAATCTATATGCAGAACAGATCATCTGGGAAGCTAGGCTCTATGAGGAGGAATGTGGTATCAGGATTGGAGGAAAACTCATCAACAATCTGCCTTATGCAGATGACACAACCTTGCTTGCTGAAACTGAGAAGAACCTGAAGTACTTGCTGCAGAAGGTCAAAGACAGCAGCCTTCAAAATATATTGAAGCTCAACATCAAGAAAACAAAGATTCTCACCTTTGAGCCAACTGGCAGCATCATGATGGTGAAGAGATTGAGAAATGCTACAGCTTTAGTTTGCTTGGCTCCACAATCAACATTCTTGATACCAGCAGCCAGGAAATCAAAACATGAATTGCATTGAAGTAGTCTGGTGTCAGGGATCTCTTCAGAATACAGAAGTCTAATGATGTCAGTCTGGAGACTAAGGTGTGCCTGATACAGGTCATGGACTTTGCAATTGCTTGCTATGTGTCAGAAAACTGGACAATGACTAGGGATGACAGAAGGAGAATTCATGTCTTTGAGTTGTGGTACAAGAAGAGTATTGACTATAGCATGAACTGCTAGGAGAACAAACAGGTTTGTCCTAGAGAGGGTGAAGCCAGGCTGCTCCTTGGAGACAAGGATTCTGAAGCTTCATGTGACATACTTTGGACATGTTGCAAGGAGGGACCAGTCCTTGGAGAGGGACATCTTGCTTGGGACAGTGCAATAGAGGAAGACCCTTGATAAGATGGATTGATTCAGTGACTGGAGTAATGGGGGTAGGTGTGTCAGAGACAATAAGGTTGGCTCAGGATAGAGCAGGGTTCAGAGCTGTTGTACATAGGATCAACCGTGAGATGCAAGCGACTCAATGGCACAAAAGAAAAACAACAAATATGTGTGACATATATACATGTACATACCACCCACCAGGTCACTCTGTTGGTCATGTGTTCATAACTACTAATATTTACATGTTGTCATACTCAAGTCCTTTTTGTCCCCTTCATGAGCTGGACTGTATGCATCTCTAGGATTCTAGGTGTCATACATACGGCTTCTGGGGAAAACATGAACCTATTATCTTCCCCAAAAGTCATTGCTGTTAAGTGCCATCGAGTTGTAGACCACTCATAGTGACCCTATGAATGAAAAGCCTGAACACTTGTATAACTTTCATCCTTTCTCCACGTTCATTGAGTTTCCAGAGGTAACCTATTTCAGAAGTGGATGCCACTCATGCTTCCAAGCTTGTTTTAATCAGGGAGCTCCACCCAACACTGTCCACCATGGGTGACCATTATCACATTTGACACATCAGGGTCACAGTGTTCAGCACCAGAGCAACCATGAGTTATCTCTGTACAGCAAATGGACAGACCAGTGCTATACAATTAAAATAATGTGTGACCAAACACAACTAAAACCAGGCCTGAGAGTCACAGATTAAAATCATTCACCTTTGGCTTGATAGCATAACTTTCTATCTACTAGGTCAACAAAGCAGTTGTGGTGGGCTCACAAAAGTCAAACCAAAGCAAAGAAATTAAAAAACACACGACAACACAAAACCCTCAACACAACAAACAAAAACAGCTGTCTCTGAAGGAACTCAGGTGAGCTTTCCAAACAACAAGGCATTTGTCTGCAAGCATTATATATG